ACACACACACACACACACACACACACACACACACACACACACACACATACACCCTATACACACAGACCCATGACAAAATGTGCACTTCACAGTGTCCTAGTGTGAGAAACTAAAGAAAACCTAGGGAGCTCCTAGCTCTAGCTGGTCACGACTGCAGAGTGGTTTTGCACATTTTTTTTCATGTGCCCATGCGGTGCTGGAGATCAAACTTGAGCAAGTCAGGCAGGCACTCTTCCACTGAGCTGCAGTGCCAGTACCCCACGTTATTTTAAAAAGTTATTTATTTTTATTAATTCCGGTTTATTCACTTGGTATCTCACCTGTAGCCCCCTCTCTCATCCCCTCCCAACCCCACCCTCCCTCCCTCTTCTCCTCCCATGTCCCTCCCCAGTCCACTGATAAGGGAGGTCCTCCTCCCCTTCCCTCTGACCCTAGTCTATCAGGTCCCCTCAGGACTGGCTGCATTGTCTTCTTTTGTGGCCTGCTAAGGCTGTTCCCCACTCAGAGGGAGTTGATCAAAGAGTCAGCCACTGAGTTCATGTCAGAGACAGCACCTGTTCCCCTTATAAGGACACCCACTTGGACACTGAACTGCCATGGCTGCATCTGTGCAGGGGTTCCTACGTTATCTAGGTTATATCATCCATTAATGGTCCTTGGTTGGAGTATCAGTCTCACAAAAGACCCCTGTGCCCAGAATTTTTGGTTCTGTTACTCTCCTTGTGGAGCTCCTGCCTCCTTCGGGTCTTTCATGTTCCCCTTCTTTCATAAGATTCCCTGCACTCTGCTCAAAGTTTGGCCATGAGTCTCAGCATGTGCTTTAATACTCTGTTGGGTAGAGCCTTTCAGAGGCCTTCTGTGATAGCCTCCTGACCTGTTCCCTGTCTTTTTCCTCTTCCAATATCCACTCTGTTTGTGTTTCTGAGTGAGGATAGATCCTCCTACCCAGGGTTCTCCTTCTTGTTTAGCTTCTTTAGGTGTACAGATTTTAGTATGTTTATCCTATATTGTATGTCTAATATCCACTTGTTCTTAAAAAGAAAACAAATCATATTGGGTTTGACCTTAAAAGCAGTATGTCTTTAAAAAGAGCTGAGAAAGATAAAAGGAGACATAACATCCACACACCTACCCGCCAGAGACTCAGCACTTAACTGGCGCTGCAGGATTTCTTTTCGGTGAATATGACATTATTTTCAAATACATAAAATGTAATTTTGCTTTGCATACTAATCTTTTTCACATAACACTCTGAAAATGTTTTTTTTTAACAGCAATTTATAGAGACCCATGTTTTATTTTTGAGACAATCCAGCCTGCTCTCAAATCCACAACCCCCTGCCCACCCTTCCCGAGTGCTGGGGTTCCAGGTGGATGCCACCATGCCAGTGAAGTTCTGACTTTAGCTGCCTACGCTATACCTTTAAACACATCACTCTTCCTGCTTTATTTCTTTGAGGCATCATCTTCTGCTCCCTGGTTCTTTAAAAAGAAGAGTGGCTTCGGACTGGAGGTTAAGGCAGGGGTCATGGGCAAGAGCTGACAAAAGGTCAGGTAAGTGGCTGTTGAGGGCGAAGCAGCCACTTTTCCTCTGAGACCTGTGGGCTCTGAGCTGCTGGGGATGACTGATGGCCTAGCATCTCAGCTCTAAGTGTGGTAGGCTGTGTGTGTGTGTGTGTGTGTGTGTGTGTGTGTGTGTGTGTGTGTGCGTGCACCTGTATCCGCTCAGCCAGGATCTGAATGAGAAGGTCTTCTGGGAGAATGCAGCTCAACAGCCCCGTCTCACCCGCGACACTGGCGCTGACACTGAGCCGCCGCTGGGCGGGCGCCGTGAGAGGGCTGGAGGAAACCTGTGAGCGGGAGAAGGGTCAGGAGTCAGAATGCAGCTTTATGTTTCAACAACTATACTTACAAGCCATGCAGCCTCTAGAAAAAAAATCATACAGCGCCCATAGGCTCCTTATTTATAAACCAGGACTGTATTTTAAAAGGCAGGATTCCTATTTTCTCTCAAGAATGGCTGGTAGCTTCAAGAATTATTGTGGGTGGCTCTTTGTGTCCTGAACTGTATTTGACTGCCCATTCATTCAACTTACCGAGCTCCCATCATGCATCAGGCCCTCCTCGTGGACTAGGGGTCCAACAAAACACAGGACTAACAATGGTGCTGCCTAGGTGGCCCTTAACATTCTTGTGGGAGAGACATAGAAACTGAGCACTTGATACAGGAATGTGCAATATTCATGGCAGCAGGGAGTGTGACGGGAAGGTGACCAGGCTAGGGAATGAAGAGCAGCGATGGGGGTGGAGGATGGCTGTGATGAGAAGATCATATGAGCTGGGTGAGGGGACAGAGCGAGACAAGCTCAAAAGAAAGGTCTTTCTGTGAGGGACCTGAAGGCTAGCTCAGGGTGAGAGAGACGATTTGGGAGCTCAGTGTGTACGGAACCTGGTAAGCAGTGGGGTTGGTGGAGTGTAGGTGGGAGATGGATGTCTCAAGCGGACTGGTGAAGGAGACTTGGGGCACCCCCCACAGAGGAGGCAGTCTTTGCAGCCGTTCTTTGGAGGAACTACACTGAAGGGGATGTGAAGGATGAGTGGAGAGCGGGAGGGGGATGCAAGGTCGTGTTTAAAAAAAAAAAAGGAAGGACATGACACAAAGAAAGATCGGAGTGCAAAGATTATGAGTTTAACGCCTGAGTTGAGTAAGAGAAAAAGGGATGGAGACCAGCGTACAGGGAGAGAGATCAGCTCAGAATGAGAGCAGGGGCAGGGGTTCTGCCACGGGCAGGCAGAGAAGGGAGTGGACTAGGGAAGAGGTGGGAGATGTGGGAGAGGATGGGGTCATTGTCTTCTGAGATTAGCAGACAGAATGTCATCTGAGGATGAAGAAGAGTAGAGGGGCTTGGAGGTCAGGAGAGTGGGGAGGGCCGGAGAAAGGTAATTTCAAAGGAAGGGCAAATTTGCTAGGGGAGACCATGGTGTTAAATTTAAATGAAGGCTATTGAGGAGAGAAAAGTAATTTTTCCAGCCATGATCAGTTTGTTCTGGATGGAATTGAGCCTGGGGCTGGGGATTGCCTGGAGACTCTGATAAAGGAGAAGGCACAAGGGAGTGTCCACAGTGGTGGACCATGGGCTGCAGCTGGAAGAGAAAGGACAGTGAGGTGGGCAGTGTGCAGAGAGAGTGAGGACTGGAGGTCCCTGTGGGACCAACTACTCGCCAGAATAAGTCATCAGGAAAGTTATCTCGCAGAGTGATTCCAATTTGCAAGATATTACAGTTATAAAACATACTTAGAGAGAAGGTGGAGATAAAAGATCCCATTGCTCTTGGCCTTGCTCTCCGACAATGCTTTTCACCCCTTCTGCTCATAACTTAGGGCTTACATTCACTTGACTACTTTATCTACGTCTTACGCCTCTGCCTTCATCACTGCTTTTTTTGTTTGTTTGTTTTGACAAAGATGGCTCTTTGAATCCCTCAGCACGTGGCTCAAGCCATGTGATTTCTTTATGACTTATGACTGTTCCTACAACCCTGCCCCACTTACATTAGTGATCCAATCCTTTATATTCCTTTAGTAATGATTTGAGACATTGGAGATAGTTGACTGCTGGCCATTTTCCATGGTCCAACTAAATTTCTTCTGTAGCTATCTTCTGTCACCATTTTATTTCAGATCATTTGCAACCATGCTCACCTTTCTCAGAAGACTCTCTACCAGTGCAACTTGAGCGTGAGACCTTGGTTTCATTACCTTTACCCCTCTGGCACCCAACTCAGTGCCAACAACAGAAAAGTACTTGCTGGGTACCAGGTGACTTCCCAGGTGGCGCTGTCTGGGAAGGGCAGCCACGGGAGCAGAGGGTGCTGGCCTGGCTGCAGGATGCTGAGGAGGAGAAGGAAGGACCCCAGCCCTCTTCCCAGGGGTCCCTGCGCACCTGTTGTGTTTCAGATGGGTGCTGGTGATGCTGCTTCTGAGACCCAGAAAAGTGGCTATCCGCCTTGCCTTTCGTGAGCAATACGCTTCCACGAATACTCTTCGAGGGTTTGGAATCCTGGTTTGTTAGAGTAAGGTCTGAGGTATACCTGCCCAAGTTCTCGGTGCTTAGCCGTATTGGTATCCCAATATTTTGGGTTGTTGTTGAAGACTCCTGAGCTGTTAGGAGAAGGTGAAGTTTTAGTAAAAGTTAACTTATGTAGGACAGTATGCTGAAGCTCCTGTTACTCTTTAGAATACTGAACCATCTTCACATGTGGCTGACTGACTTGGGTTGGAAGGAGAAGCTCCACCCACCCAGAATTGGATGATGGCTCTCTTGGGGTTCCATACTCTTTTCTGCCTGCATTAGTTGCTTTTTTATTGTTGTGACAAAAATTCTATGACCAAGGCAACTTATAGACAAAGTGTTTATTTTGGTGGCCACCAATTGAAGACCAAGTGTTCTAATATTTGAGCTATGAGGGCCATTTCTCATTCAAACTACCACATTGCCCATTCTTTCAACAGCTCCTGCAATGGTCTGTGCTCATTTTCTTTCCCAGCCCAGAGGCCAAGAATTTAAGTTGCTTGTGCACTAAGGCCTTGTCTTAGCAATCTGACACTTTACCTTCTGAGGTTTTGAGGAGTGGCAAGGCCAAGGAAGAGGTGGGCCAGGGTTCCTCCTGCCCTCAGCAGAGCCAACTCAGATGATGAGTGAGTTTAGCAAGAAGTGTGTCATTGTTAGTGGACAGGACCTTCATTCACACGGCTAATTTCTTCTTTAGTTCCTGACTCCCTTTCCAAGAAGATTGCTACCCTCTCATCTCCCTCCCGAGATACTTCCTAAAACTTTAGTTATTTAGAATGCACTTAGAGCAGCTCTTCCTGGAGAGCCTTTGTGTCCCCTGAGCCTCAGAGTCTTCTGATGGATCCCTTGCCTGACATATTTGCCCTGGCACATTGTAATCCCTGGGATTCTGTCTTCGAAGATGGACTAGGCACCCCCGAAGGAGACCGGGGGTGGAGAACACGTCATTTCTCTTCTAAGCTAAGTAGCATCCATCATTCTCTAGGTCTTGGGGGAACTCAGACTCAGTGTTCCTGTCAGCATAGAACTCTCCAGACTTCCCTTGTAGCTACAGTTCACTCTGGTGTACTGTTTCCTGCAACTCCCTCCTTCCCTCTCCCAAGATTTGGGATATGTACAGAGAAGCCATATCGCACCTGCCGGGGCACTAGAGAAGCTGAAACCCCCACAGGGCCAGCCACAGCTGAGTTCTGCAGCTGTTCTGGAACATGCTAGTCTTCTGCTCACCAGGCCCTTCACCTGACACCTCTGCTCTGCTCGACCCCACTTCCTCAGAAGCACTGGCCGCTAGTATCTCACCTCAGTCTTGACTTCTTTTCACTGTGGACTCTGGCTCCCCTGCCCGCACCTGTTCTTCACTGACCATACAATCTCTTTACAATGGCCATGTGCCTCTAGCTGTTTCTTGTCCATTGTGCCCTTCTTATTTCACTAACAACTTCTAGATACAATCTTAGCAAAAGTTTGCATTTCAACAAATGACCTTTCTTCTTTCCCTTTCTCCCCCTATTTTCCTTTCTTCTTACTTGTTTCTTTCCTCTCCCCTGTCTAGCAGTCCAAATCACCACAGTCACAATAATGTATATAATTAAAAAAAATACGGTGGCCTCATAAAAGTAAAAAACCAACTGAAACGGTACATTTCACTTAACCTATTATGTGAAAATGGGTAGGTCCATGTCTGAGCCAAGGACAAAAACTGATGCTGTGCTGTGTACTCTGCTCACAGTGTGTCTTCAGCGGCCTAGTGTGTACTGTGTTCTCACGGCTCACCGAGCTTTGAACTAGCCACAGTTGAGGCGTGCAGTCACTTCCTGTGGCTAGTGACTTTTGCTTGGCATAGGCAGGCTTAGATTCAGCTATTCCATCCCAGCCTGCTGACTGGAGCAGACAGCAAATGCTGGTTAGGACCCAATCCTTCTACCGAGGCTCCCGTGATGCGTCAACTCTATGCTGTGAATACGTAAGTGAGGAAAATGAACACAGTCCCTGCCCTGGAAGCTTCTGTAGCGAGAACAGTGGGGACAGACAACAAAATGAAATAAATGAGATGAGAATAGTATGTTAGTTAGAGCAGAGGGCTCCGGAGAAAGAAGGCAGAACGCGAGAAAGGCTTGCCTCTCACTTTTCCTGAAGTTGCAAGGCTTTCTCCTCCTCTTCCCTAGTGCCTGCCCTGCTGAGTCCCTGCCTTTGGGACCGCAATCCCACCTAAGTGACCCCTAGCTTCTCCTCTTCTAACACTTCCTCCTAACATTTCCCTTCTCCTTTTGGACCATTCTGGGCCAATTCCATCATCTGCAGCTCTCACTTCTTTGACAGACTCCCTCAGCTCTATCTTCAGTTTGATGGGTATTCAGTTCAGGGGCTTAAATTCATCATTTCACCAGGATGCTAACATAATCAATCACATGGATCACTTGTTTGTCAGAGACAGAGAACATCTAAGAGAGTTAGAATTATGACATAGTCTGGGATTTTCCCTGAAGAGCTGTTTCTCTTATTTACCCAGCAGAGGGACTGAAAGTTGATTAACTAGCAGGTATGGGGTACAGTGAGGAACTGTGTCATGTTGTTAGTAAAGAGAAAGGATCCAGGTCTAATAAGGTCCCCTGCTTCAAACTCAATATTTTTTTTATTAAATTTTTATTTTTTAAATATTTTTTCTTATGTAACTTCTTTCATGACCTGTGGTTCTCAGATGACTAGATGGAGTCAGGATTCTTGGCTTGTAATGGGAAGACCATAACAGGCTTCTCTGTGATGAGATCCAAAAGTTCAATCCATTTTTTTTGTTTCATTCTCCTCCCAGGATTCCTTTCACAGTCAATGATACAGTTTTCCTAGTTTTTCTGGCTAAAAGTCTGTGCTCATCCCTGAACATCCCTGCTCATTCAGTTCTCTACCATGTATGCAGACACAGCACCAGCTGGACCGAGGACATTTCCCCCTGCTTTTCTATTGCTTCTTCTACATTATAAGAGCTATTTTCCTACTATTGCCTTTGGACATCTGGGAGACAGACCATAGCCACTCCCAATTATTCTTTTTATTCAATAAAATTCAGATCCCTAATCAAAGCTAATTACAGTTGATCCTTCATACAAACAGCCTTCCCACCTCTGATTTACTATCAACCTCCCTGGTTTCTTGGTCATGACCTTGTCTCTGTTTTGCCTGTTAATATTCACCTGATTGCCCAAAGCCCATTTCCATGAAGACTTTCCCAAGTCTCCTTTGTTGAAACCATCTATTCTCAAACATCCTCTCACAGAAACCAAAGCTTCTATGGTTGTGGTATTTTCCTCTGTGCCAAATGAACTCATCTTTGCCTCCCCTCCAAGTGTCAACCCAACCGTAATATGGGCTGTGTCTCTCATGGTCCTGTTTTCCACTGTGTCAATCACACGCTTGCAAGGGGCGTGGAATGACACCTCTGCATGCATGCTAGGTGAAGAGAATGCTTGGGAGAAACTGGCCACATGTCACACATCAGTCTTCAACTAGGCTCCAGGAGAGGAAACTCAGTGTGATGCATAAAGAAATGGTCTTATCAGTAAGGGTACCATTACTCATTATTTGACAAAAAAAAAAAAAAAAAAAAAAAAAAAAAGCCAAGAAGGGCCTGGGGTGATAGATTATTTGGTAAAGTGCTATGTATGCAAGCATGAGGACCTGAGTTCAATCCCCAGAACCCACATAAGAAGCCTGGTGTGCTAGCATGATCTTGTAACCCCAGGGCTGAGGAAAAGAAACAGAACAGATGGCTTCTTGGGTCTCACTGACCAGCTAGCCTAGCCTAACCAGTGAGCTGCAGACCAATGAGAGACTCCATCTCAATAAACCAGGTGAGTAGCTCCTCAAGCAGCACACCCAAGGTTGTCCTCTGACTTTGCCCTTACACACACACACACACACACACACACACACACACACACACACACACACAGAATGTGTCTTACCTGACTCGTCTGCTTCCTTCATGGACTGCTCTATGGCAGCTCTAATGCACAGCTCCCGGGCCCGAATCCCTGGAATGTTGTTGCTGTCAGACATGGCTTCTAAGACAACGGAGTCAATGTTCAGGCAGGCTGCACTGTAATATTTGGCTATGCTGATGGCATTGGTTGTTTTTCCTGTAAAAACAGTCAGAGCATTGGCTCTCATGATTATCACAGGCTCAGTATCCTGGACAGAAGTCTGTAGAACAAAGGACCCCATGGAGTGATTTCTGAGTGCTTCACCTCCAAGTCTCTTAAGTGGCCAGAGAAAGCTGCAGCAGAGATGAAGCAGCATTGTGCCGTGAGTCAGAGCTATGGATCCATTCCTAACCATGCCACTGAGACACAGTGGTACAACAACCAACACCCTCGCTAGGCTTTTCTCCTCAGGTTGACAAACAGATTGTACCAGATGATCTCTGAAGTCCTGTGTAGTCCCCACTGTTTCTGATTTTAACAGGAAGACACATTTGGTTTCAAGAGTAACCTGTGCTTACTTGGTTTTTCTTGTTTTAATCTACTTTCATGAGAAAGTAAGAACAGCTAAAAGCCAAGAAAAAGGATCTAGAATACACTCATATAGAGACACTAGAGTTGCCCTATACCTGTTTGCACATTTAACCTTGTTATTGATATTTTTCATAAAAATAAATGATGGATTGGAGAGATATCTTAGTTCAGGGCACTGGTTGCTCTAGTAAAAGAGAAGTTTCTTTTCCCAACATCTTTCATAGTTATTTTTATAAAACTGTATTTGTTTCTCAGTTTCTCTCTTAACCTGGCTATCACACAAATAATTGACACTCTCTTATATCTGTTTAATAATAAGCTTCACAACACAATAACTGAGCAGTTATTACTTATTCTTAACTCTTTAGGCTAATTTGGCATCTTCACAATATATATCCCAGAGATACGTGCACTTTGTAGCTTTCCTGCTGAGCTCTCTCGCCTGGACCTCTCTACCCCGGGCTGAATCTCCTAATTTCTCTTCTAACTCTTCCTCTCCTGGCTGGCAGGAAGTTCAGCCTTATTCTCTTCCCTGCTCAGTGATTGGCTGTAAGCTGCTTTACTGGCATATCAGGGGACAATTGGGAAGCAGTTTTTACACAACAGTGAGACAAGAGATTCTCAGAACAAGGATTGCAACTGGATATGGGGGGGGGGTAATAGAAATCAGCATTTGAGTTACATAATAACCTTACTACAAACACCCACATGGCAGCTCACAACCTGTAACTCTAATGGAAGTCACAATCTGTAACTCCAATTCCAGGGGATCTGGAACCCTCTTCTACCCTCTGTGAACACCAGGTACACATGTGGTACACATATACACTCAGGCAAGATAGTCATACATGTAAAATAAATAAAAACACAATAAATAAAAAAAACCAAAATGGGGGTCTGGGGATGTGACTCAGCTGGAAGAGTGCTTGCCTAGTATCATGAAGCCCTGGATCTAACCCTCAAGTACCATATAGACTGGGCGTGGTGGTACATCTGTAACCCCAGCTCTTCAGAGGTGGATGTAGAAGGCTCAGGAGTTAAAGTCATCCTCAGCTCTACAGGAAGTATGAGGCCAGCCTCAACTAGAGTCTAAGAAAGAAAGAAAGAAAGAAAGAAAGAAAGAAAGAAAGAAAGAAAGAAAGAAAGAAAGAAAATGAGGGATGAAGGGAGAAAGAAGGGAGAGAGGGAAGGGGCAGGTTACACAGGATGCTGAATTATAAACCCTAAAATGCAGACGTTCCTGTCTCTGGGCCCTGTAAACACGTTCCATTGAATGCAAAGGGTGATATTTTGCAGGTGTGATTCTACCATGAGCTGTGAGTGTTTTCAGAGTGGCCCCAATGTCATTACAGGGGTCCCTAGGAGAAGAAGGCAGGAGTCAGAGGTGGCGATTTGACAGCAAGATGCTGGAGGAGCCTGAGCTGCCAGCTCTGAAGATGGGGTACGCCCTCAGCCAGAAATGTGGACGTTTGTAGAAGCTAGAAAAGTCAAGAAAACAGGCTGTCCAGTAGTGCCTCCCAAAGGTAACATGGCCCTGCTGCCCCTCTTAAGACTTAGGGACCACAGGACTGTTTTAGAGGGTAAATATTTGCCTCTTCAAGCCACTAAATTTGTGGCTGTTATATAAGCAATAGGCAACAGATACAAATTATAAATCATAAGCTTAACACTTCCTCCTCATGGAAAATGACAGATCATGAATAACTTTTCTTAAAATGTGTGTTTGTGTGTGGTATCTGCATATATGGACACCCATGCTGGCATGTGTGGAGGTCACAGTTTGATGGCAGGAAGGGTATCTTTCTTTGATGGCTTCTCCCTCTTACTTTTAAAGTCAGGGTCCTTTACGGAACTAACCATTTCATCTAGACTGGCTGAGATGAGCTGCTGGGATCTGTCTGCCTTTGACCACCCCCAGCAGTGGGGCTAGAGGCACAAACCACTGCTCTCAGCTTTTCCGTGGGCTCTGAGGGTCCAAACTCAGGTTCTCATGTTTGTCCCACAAGCACTCTAAGGACCAAATCATCTGTCCAGCCCTGTCTTTGTCTTTATTGTAACACACTCATATGACACTGTTTTTCTAACTGTGTTAAAATAGACATAAAATGTTTAGTTCTCTCTCTCTCTCTCTCTCTCTCTCTCTCTCTCTCTCTCTGTGTGTCTGTCTGTCTTTCTGTCTCTCTCTTTTTGGAGGCAGGGCCCCTGGGTACGTGCCCGTGACCATTGTTATGCTGTTCATCAGATGAAACTCTTATGGTCTGCCCTGACCACAGCGGATGTTGCCACAGATCCGTAAGGAAAAGACATGACATCTCTGGCCACAGGCTCCCCTGGGGATAGCCACATACCGGACACGGGTGTCCCGTGGATGATAATGGCGATGCCCTTTCGATTCTTGGCCAGGCGGCCTTCTGCTGTCATGTCGATGCCCAGGTGGCGTGCAATTGCCTTGCTCACTGGGCTGCTTTCCACCTCTCCAACCTCCTCTCTGGAGTGGCTGTCTGTGCTCTGGAGCTTGTCAGCTGTAAATCCAAACCACATGTGAGCGTGTGCACAGTTGTGTATCCCAGAGTTCACACAGGTACATGGGTACCTGTAGAGATGGAAGTGAATTTTTCTTTTAAAATATTCTTGTTTTTAAAAGGCCCAGTGATGCAGCAGTCCCCACCCAGGGTATAGGAGAATGGCTCATTTGGCTAATAATCTGCCTCTACATTTTAAAATGAAGAAAAAGAAGATATTCATTGACTTAAATTCTACTTGGGGGGATCTCTTGGCCTCTGACAGGGTAGGTTCCTGGGAGGATATGAAGGTGACTTCAGCTGAGACTCCTAGTTACAGGGGTAACTAGCTACAGGAGACTGAAGACACCACCCTCCGACTATACGTGACTCCCCGGGATGGGAGGGGAACACCATTCCACCCACAAAAACTTTGACGCAAAATTTACCCTGCCTACAAGATGGGCAGGGACAAAAACAGAGCAGAGATTGAGGGAATGTCCAGCCAATGATTGGCCCAACCTGAGACTCACCCCATGGGAGACAGTCAAGCCCTGACATGATTAACGATACTCTGCTATGCTTACAGACAGGAGCCTAGCATAGCTGTCCTCTGAGTTTCCAACAGCTGCTGTTTCACAACCAACCATTGGGTAGAGCACAGGGAGCCAGAGGGGACAGGAGCTCTACAAGAAGACTAATAGAGACATCTAATCAGGGCCCTAGGGAGGGGGGGAGGGGGAAATGTAGAGACTGAAGCACCAACCAAGGACCATGCATGGACTGGACCTAGGCTCCTACACAAATGTAGTTGATGGGCAGCTTGGTCCTCATATTGGTCCCTTAGTAAGGGGACTAGGGTTTGACTCTGACATGGACTCTGTTGCCTGCTTTTTGATGACTTTCCCCTGGTAGGGCTACCTCACCAGGCCACAGGGCAAGAGGATGCACTCAGTCCTGATGCAACTTGATATGCTATGATATGTGGGTGGGTGAGTGGGTGATTCCCCTTCTCCGGAGAGGAGTAGGGGAGGGAGGATAGGGGAAACAGGGAGGGGGTATGGGCCTGGGAGGAGAGGAGAGAGGGGGCTATGACCAGGATGTAAAAGGAATAAATAAAAACAATTTTTTTTTTTAAATGAGAAAGGATGACAGGGGCAGAACCAGGATGGTGGAATGGAGAAAAGGTGGCACAAAAGGTCAGGGACCACATAGGGGCAAGTGAGCTGAGCTGAGTTGGGTTAAATGTGAGGTATGGCACCAGAAACGCTGTTTTTTGTCTCAGGTTTATCTTTGTGTTCCCCAGCTTTACCTCAGATCTCAGAGAGAAGAAAGGTCAGAAGATGGGTCCATGACCTGGGAGGGGAAGTGGAGGGTTCAATGGCTTGATTGGGAGGACTGCCTGGAAGAATGTTCTCCACATCCTCAGAGCATTCCTTTAAATGTTTCCCATTTGGCTATAATTTCAACCTGAAGAAATCAGGTCTTCCCCCGGTCAGGTTAAAATGCAAGTGACTGCGGCAAGAGCAACACTTCGCACACCACGCTTCCACAGGCCTCCACGTGCACAGCACAGTGTGAGTACACGGGTCAGGTCTTCACCAGAGGGTGTATGTGGTGGTGAGGAAGCCACTGCTAGAGACCTGAGTGGCCTTTACATGGAGAAAGACGCCCCAGGGTTGAACAGCCCTTTCGTTTCAGGTTCGTCGGAACCGCCCCCCCCCCCCC